TTTGTGTTGCATAAATTGTGAGTTCTGTGTGCCAGTAAATCAGTCTTGTTCCAGCATTAAGCCTTGGCTCATGTTTGGGGGAAGGGATACCTACACTCTGGGGATTGCTATAATCACTTACTCCCAGAGGAAGCTCTTGCAATAGCTTGATTTGTTCCTGTTCCTGCTCTCTGGGGAAAGAGAGGTTCACCCACTGGAAGCTGGATCCTGGCCTTGGGTCCAGGGTGGGTGGAAACAGCAGAGACCCGGCGCAGTTGCATCGCTGGAAGTGGGGTCTGCAGTGCTGATGGTGTCGGTTGGAGTGCTTGGAGTCCTCAGCGAGCACTAGGAGCATCGATTGGCGGAGGTACTCAGTCGGAGTGCCAGCATTCCGTCACATGTAACTAACAGTCTTTCTGGCTGGCCCCACTCAGGACCTGAAATCAGGACATGTGCTGGATTTGGGACAGTTCAGGGGCATGTGTCCGTGAAATTATAGTGAATATGACTGATATAGCCACGATGTTTTGTGTGACACAGTCCTCCTAGTGACCCGACAGTCTGACACCGAGTGACAAAGCTGGTCTGAGTTGCATGAGTGTATGTTTAAAGGACCACTCTAGGCACCCAGACCACTTCAGCTTAATGAAGTGGTCTGGGTGCCTGGAACTTCTAGGGTTAACCCATTTTTTCATAAACATAGCAGTTTCTGAGAAACTGCTATGTTTATGAATGGGTTAAGCCTTCCCCTATTTCCTCTAGTGGCTGTCTCATTGACAGCCACTAGAGGCGCTTGCGTGCTTCTCACTGTGATTTTCACAGTGAGAGCACGCCAGCGTCCATAGGAAAGCATTATGAATGCTTTCCTATGTGACCGGCTGAATGCGCGCGCAGCTCTTGCCGCGCGTGCGCATTCAGCCGACGGGGAGGAGAAGAGGAGGATCGGAGGAGGAGAGCTCCCCGCCCAGCGCTGGAAAAAGGTAAGTTTTACCCCCTTTTCCCCCTCCAGAGCTGGGCGGGAGGAGGTCCCTGAGGGTGGGGGCACCTACTCGTTTTCCTGGCACTATAGTGGTCCTTTAAACATGCTTGCCCTGCACTTTTGAGGAGGTTCAGGGCAGTAAAGCCCATCACCATGGAATTGAATTTCCTATTGGGCATTAAGGGAGCACCCTGATATACCAGGATACTGCTAGTCTAAAGTATAAAGAGGGGTGAATTTAAAAATAAATGGGACCATTACCAAATGAAACCAGAACAATAGGTAGATGAGGACCCTATACTTTTACTTTGTTGCAGAATGCAATTAAGTTAGTGTGACATAACCTATGTTTCATAAATCCATGTTAATAACAATGTTTTTCCCAGTTAATTTCTGAAAATACATGATGAACACCAGGAAAGGCAGGATGAAGTGCCTTGCAATAACCTTTCAAATACTTTCTCAGCCACTGTAGTTAAGCTCACAGGTCTATAATTTAAGCATATATTTTGAACCAATTTTGTATTTAGGAACTACAACTGCCTTCATCCAATACTCCAGTACAATTCCTGAAAGATTAAAACCAGAGGTTCACTTAATTCCACACTAGCTCCTTAAGTACTTGTGTGTGAATACAGTCAGGCCCTATGGCTTGTTTCCATTAACTTCCTTTAGGTTCTGTAGCATCTTGTCTTGAGTTATCCAATCACAACTATTCTGCAAGTTTTTGCATCAATCATTTGCGTACCTCTAATCATAGGATCCTCTTTAATATAAACGGAGTAAAAATAGTTATTTAAATGTTCTGCCTTTTCCTGGTCTTTACTGACAAACACGCCCCAGCCTGTTTTCAGTGTACCTACACTTTCTTTTATTTAGAAACATAGAATGTGACGGCAGATAAGAACCATTCGGCCCATCTAGTCTGCCCAATTTTCTAAATACTTTCATTAGTCCCTGGCCTTACCTTATAGTTAAGATATCCTTATGCCTATCCCACGCAGGCCTAAACTCCTTTACTGTGTTAACCTCTACCACTTCAGCTGGAAGGCTATTCCATGCATCCACTACCCTCTCAGTAAAGTAATACATCCTGATATTATTTTTAAACCTTTGCCCCTCTAATTTAAGACTATGTCCTCTTGTTGTGGTAGTTTTTCTTCTTTTAAATATAGTCTCCTCCTTTACTGTGTTGATTCCCTTTATGTATTTAAATGTTTGGTTGTTTTTTTTTTTTCACTTTAGAATATGGTATTTGTTTCATTGCTTAAAGGGACACTATAGTCACCTGAACAACTTTAGCTTAATAAAGCAGTTTTGGTGTATAGAACGAGCCCCTGCAGCCTCACTGCTCAATCCCCTGCCATTTAGGAGTTAAATCACTTTGTTTATGAACCCTAGTCACACCTCCCTGCATGTGACTTGCACAGCCTTCCATAAACACTTCCTGTAAAGAGAGCCCTATTTAGGCTTTCTTTATTGCAAGTTCTGTTTAATTAAGATTTTCTTATCCCCTGCTATGTTAATAGCTTGCTAGACCATGCAAGAGCCTCCTGTATGTGATTAAAGTTCAATTTAGAGATTGAGATACAATTATTTAAGGTAAATTACATCTGTTTGAAAGTGAAACAAGTTTTTTTTTTTCATGCATGCTCTGTCAGGGGAGGTGTGGCTAGGGCTGCATAAACAGAAACAAAGTGATTTAACTCCTAAATGACAGTGAATTGAGCAGTGAAATTGCAGGGGAATGATCTATACACTAAAACTGCGTTATATAAGTAATTTAGGTGACTATAGTGTTCCTTTAAGTAATCAGAAATGAAGTTGTCAAATACCAAATCATCATATGTTTTGTTAAATTTCCATTTCATTCTCTATCCTTATCCGCTTTATTTCTATTTATTTATTTATCTAGTAACTGTTACAGTTTTATTAAACATTTAGATACGTAACAAACTAACAAACATATAAACGTTTGCTTGGTTCATGGTGCGAGAGAAAAATAAATAAATTCCCTTATCAGGCTCGGGGGAGAGGCCCAGACATTTCCCTGAACAGATGTAAACCATACGGTTAAATAAATAATTAAACAGGAAAAATCCACTATGAAAAGAGCAGGTAATGAGGAAAACCTCCTTATTCAGGGTCCAATTTTTTAATCCATTTATCCCAGTATGTATAGTGCTGACCCTTATTTGGTGCAAAATTAGTGATGACCCTTTCCATTTTATATTGAATAATGCTTTGAGCATGAATCTTAGATCAGTTGTCTACCTTAGGAGATTTACAGTTCCTGCCCATCGAGGTTTTCACAGCCATTAAGATGTGAAAAATAATAGGTCTAGATTCTCTATTGAAGCCTGTCATATCCATATATAATAGAGCCATACTTGGAGTCAGCTTGACCCTTGTTTCAAGTAAAACTGATAAATATTGGTTTAGCATATCCCATAAAGGTCTAATTTTTGGACAATCCCACCAAATATGTTTGAAGTCTGCAATTAATTCATTGCATCTCCAACAATAAGGTGGGGATGTAGGATAAATTTTTGCTATTTTGTAGGGGGTACTATACCATCTATTTAGTATTTTATAATGGGTTTCATGTATATTTAAATAGTGACAGACTTTGTATATCGTATTAAGGGAGTTGTTCAATTCTTTCATGGTTATCTCTTTTGCCAGGTCCTGATTCCATTTAATAATTGCCGGGGGAGTTGATCTACTCTGAGTCTTTTAAATTATTTGTTGGCATTTATTTGCCAAGTGGGTATAGTCTGACTGCTCATATAAGTCTGAATATATGATTCTATCATATCCCCCCCTGTCTCGTCTTTCCTCCACGCTATGCATGTTAAGTTCCTTTAACCTTTCCTTGTAAGTTTTATCCTGCAATCCATGAAGCAGTTTAGTAGCCCATCTCTTCTTTAATTATGTTTTAGAATTAATGTAATTAAATCTTGGTGGGTTGGTTTTTCTCTCTTTGGCTATCACTTTCTCATTTTCTAGTTTAGTCTATCTAATCAACTTTTTACATGCATTATTGGCTTCCCTATATCGTACATGGGATGCCTCTGATTTGTCTGATTTAAATACCCTTTTCTTGTTTTTCATTCTTGGTTTACTTTCCCACTCAGCCATATTGCTTTCAATTTGTTTCTTTTATATTTATTACCCAAGGCTACATACTGAGAGATATACATTTCTAATACATGTTTGAAAATATTCCTGTTATCCACAGTGTTTTTGTTGTTGTTTTTTTTCCATAAACAGTTTACGTCAGTCAATGAGTTGTACAGTTTCCCTAATCTTATTAAAAATGGCTTTTTAAAAATTATGTTTTAGTATACCCTATGTGCATCTGCACTTTTTTTTTTTTTGTTAATCAGTTTTTATTGAAGCCAGTCAGTAGGTAAAGTTGGGCACGCAGGCCCGCATTTATAGTAGAATACTAGGTTACACAATAAAAGCATCAGATATCAAAACAGTATAAATATGTGTGGTTATAATCTATTACAATAGCAATATTAGGTAACATGAGATCGTTAATAGTAGCCGTTACCGTGTCCCTCTCCCAGGGGTACTTAGCTAGAGCTCGTGATAATCATAGTTATTCAGATCAGTCCCCTGAGGGCTAGGGCGGTGCGGGGTAATCGATATGTATCGGCGTCTTATAGCCGTGTGAATACTAATGTTTCGTGTGTCAAATCTTCTCGTCGAGAGGTGTGTAAGTGGGGTGTGATGCATTGGGTTAGGGTGTGTCTTAGCCCACAGGTAGGGCGTTGTTGAGTGTTGTTATTAAAGATATGTGGCATTACACAATTATTGTAGGTGGGATGGGAAGAGGATGGTGTTGGTTCGAGAAGAGGACACGGTAGCATGTGGGAGTCCCTCCAGCAATGTGAATATTTAATCGAGGTGTTCTCATTCTTCTCTCAACTGTCCGCATTTGGTGCAGGAGGGCCATTGTGGGAGAGCCCAGTTGTGTCATGAGGTTTCCCCAGACTTGGTCAACCTGTTGCCTGACCGTGTTGGGGTACACATTGTCCGTTCTCAGTACTCTCTTGAATCTTGATTTATTTTTTTATTCTTCCTTTCTGAGATGTTGACTGATGCACATGCACAGTAGCCCTTTGAATTCATTGGATTGGCAGAGAACATTGTAACTGATTATTTAAGCCAAGGGAGAGCAACACTCCATGTGATATAAGTTGGTAAAACTATTTAAGTCTCAAAGGGGATTATACAACCCAGTGGTTACCATCCGAGTCCTCGTGGCCCAGCAACAATATTGGCCACACTTCTATTTAGCTAAAGTTATTTTGGTGCTTAGAGTATTGCTTTAAGTCACACTCTGCGATTTATTGAATTAATCATATAAGGGTATGGAACTACCAACATTGAAGTGGTCTGGGTTCATAGTCCCAGGTCCCTTAATCCTGCAACGGTAGTTAATTTTTGGAAGGGGGGGGAAGCGAGAACTATAGGCTGTTATAGTGCCAGGAAAACAAACTTGTGAAAATAAAGCTGTCTTTGATGACAGGCACCATAACTTTCTATAGATCCCGTTGTTATAGTGCCTGGAATATTTATTTCATAGCTTACCGTTCTAGCACTGAATATGTCTTCTATTCTTGCACCTACCAATCCTCTTTCATAGTTTAGGGATTTAGGCAGGTCACGTAACGTCATCGCTAACCCAAAATATATATTATAGTAGAAGAGTGGTGACGGAAGCATTTTGTTTTATAAATGTAGCTAGTCCCCTTCACACAAACCCTGCAAGTACACTTTGTAAAAATGACATGGGAGACTTATTGTTTATTTATTGTTCAATAGTTTATGTACTCTAAGCAACTATCTCTTTACAGTTCAAAGTATTCTAATTCCTTATGGATTTCTATGACAAAATACATTTTAATTAATGGAAGAGGACATAAAGTCACTGGTGAGTGTAAAATAGATTAGTAAGTGCAATTTTACTTCACTTTACAGATAGTAGTAACAAAATAGCACTAGAGTGAAACTGAAAGGCAAACAATGCTATAGATGTGGTGGCAGATCCTGGAAATGTAATCTATAAAATTGATATTTCATAGGAGACTGACTATATGCTCTGATTTGTTGTTACCTACAGCTCAGTTTCACATTACTGATAAATACTCATTTTGTGTCAATGTATTTTGTTAATAACTGGCGTCATGATCAATGATCTGATGTAAGGCAGCTTAGGGAAAACATTTTTTTTTCATGTAGAGGGTAAGTGTAGTGTAGAACACTACAAGAAAAGGTGGGTTGGTAGTTGGTGGCAGACCTCAAATGTTATTCTGGTCTTGCACATTTAGGGTCTTTCACTGAGCACTGGAACAATAAGAGAGTGTTGAAAGTGCTTTGTGCGATGATTTAATATATTGCTGATTTGACAATTTACTATATAAGGGCTCCAAATCCAAGCCCTGATACCAGCCAGGCTGTGAAGGTACTTTCCACCATAAGCATGTGTCTCAGAAGATGCAATATTGCGGAAGTAAAAGAGGACCTAACATACAGCGTAATACAGTCTGGGGGGAAAAAAACCTCAGCTCCAAGTTTCACAAGTCAGTTTCTGCTTTTGATCAAAAATGTGATTTAATTTTTAAACAATTTTTTTTTTTGCCATTTCAAAAAGGCAGACTTCTTAAACTAACCATGTAGCGGAGCTGCAATATTAAATTCCATGATCTCCGCTGGTACAGAAAGTAATCCAAAGTAAAGTGCTGAAAAGTATGGCAATATCCCAAGTCCCCCCAGTAACCAGACGAAACACAGTTCTGGGAGTCAACTGAGCTTTTATTCACAAGTCAAAGTATTTATGCAAGTCCCCATGCAAGAGGTTTCCCTACTGACATTGCAGGGGTTATACAATAGGGGACTAAATAATCTAGACATTTCTCCCATCAGGCACTGCTGGGCGAGAGGAATACACCATTTAGTGGATTATCCCTCTGTGCAGCAGAACCAACATTTCACATAGAATTATATAACTTTTCCATCATTCACTTTATTTAAACGAATGGACGTTCGGTAGATAGCTGGGGTCTGAGCGCACATTTCGTGAGAATACCGCTCAGATCCCAGCATAAATAACCGAACGCTGCACGAAGTACACTTTAACATTGTGTTCGCCTAAAAGTACAGAATAGTGAAAAAAAAAAAAAAGTACAGAATAGTGAAAGACCGGAGCTCCCGAACGGCCTGGAAGCCCAGCGGTGTTCGCGGCCTCGAGTAGCCGATTTCAGCTCCACGCACTCGACGACCAAACACCGCTGGTGAAACAAAGGATCCAAGATGGCTGACCGCCGCCCACCTAGGAAAGCCTTTAATGGGCCTGTGTGTGGTCGTCCATTCGGTAGGTTATTCGTTTCACGAACAGTGTTGAAACTCACTGTTTGTGAAACTACAGTATGAATGTTGCAATCGGTTAATGGGTGCCACACGACCCTCTGTGTGTGGGCTACTGGGTGATATCTCATTCGTTTCACGAACAGTCGGTAAAGTTCCTGTTGGTGAAACGAATACATGAATGCTTGCAACTTTCGGCTTCTAGCGTACGAATGCTCTAGGACATAGAAGTACATGCAAACATTAAAATATAACAGTCCGGCAGCTTATTACAGACAACCTTTTCAGATACAGTCCAGTAACCTAAAAGTGGCTAGGTTTGCCACAAACCATGACAGTATTCATACTTGGCTTAATGCTGCCATGTTTTTAACTAAAAATAAATATTTTTTCCTGTTCAAACAATGGCAATATTGCGCTCTATGAATTAAAGTCAAAAGATAATGCATTCAAAAATGTGTTTCTTTAGTATAGCGGCAGTATAGGAGGGATGTCCAAACAAGTGGACAGGTAGCTTCAAATATAAAATTATAATTTGGAAATCTAACCCCATCCTAACTTAAATCGATTCACTGACTGGGATCTCACGGTCATAGCAAGAAATAAACTCAGGTCCCTTAAAGCACTTCAGCTTATTGAAGTGCTTTTTTTTTCTCTTCATTTTTATAAAATGTGATTTTAATAGAATTTTAATAGAAATTGGTGCTTTTATAAATTTGCGCTGTTTACCCCCACACTCACTTTTGGGTAGGCTACCGGTCCTGTTACTTCCTGGTTTATTTGCTCAGTGAAGCTAAACTCAAGAGGCAGCAATTGCTCAGATCCCTTGCCTTGCATAAGGACCTGTATAAGGAAGTCTGTGATTGGGCAGCCGCAGAAAGGCTGGGAGGGATTAAGAGAGGGTTTGCTAAGGCAGCAGACAAAAGAACTACAGCTATAGCAAGCTGATTTTAGATTTCCCCTCAATAAAATGCACAATTAAATGCATGCATGTTTATTTTTGGAGTACACTTACTAAACATTGATTTTGTATTTTTTTTTTTTTTTAATGTGGAGTGTCCCTTTATTGCCAAAGAATCAAAATTTAAGAAGGGAGGGAAATATGTAGTGCTGCTTTATAAAGTTAAAAAAAAAAAAAAATGTACTTGAAGTAAAATGTTGGTTATTCCTGTCATTTTATGGAAAAAAAGGTTTAAGTTGTAAAACCACTTTGTCCTGATAAAAAAAATAGTGAAAATGGTGACTCTGAAAGGACTTAGAGTTCCCAAACTCTTTATGCTAATGTGTTTGACATAAAGCAGTTTTTTCAAGGACAACATCTTCAGGGATACTTCTTCCAGAGGCTAAAAAGGTACATCATTAGGCACCAGAGATAAATACATTTATCTCGTCGTCCATACTCAATACATCAATAGAGAAGCCAGAAGTGTGGTTTTTCTCCAGACAAGAAATAGAACTGTAGGAACATTTACCCAATGAGAGCTCTGCAATAGAAGATCTACTACTTTTTATTCCTTTAGATTGCTTTTCATGTATAGAGGCAGGTTCCATGGCTTTAATATCCATCTCCTTAATACTAGCAAAAGGTCTGAGATACATTTTCTTGGAACTAAGTCAGGAATGAATGCATATCCTTTTTTTCCCCCCCAAAGCTTCTGGTACAACACTGGTTACAGATTTTATTTCATTGCAATGGTCAGGTAGAAGAGTTGCACACTACATTTAGAGATTTACATTTCGCTTTAAGCCTGGCAGCAGGTGGAAGAAAAATGTAATCGGAGTTTCCATTTTTTGCATGAGATACAGGTGTAGAGATCTGTAAAAACCTAAAAAGTTAAAGAAAACTGATCCCCAACCTTTAAGACATCAGAACCGGGTGGGGGGAGAGATCATCTGGTAACACAGTAATCCAGTACTGACAAGCACTCACAGCCTATATACTCTTGAAAGATTTTGAAATTTATCTCCAAAACGGGTTCCTATTGCACATGCGCAGTAGGAATGCAGCAGCATGTGTGCATTCCACCGCTGGGTGCAGAATCCCATTCTGTTCTATAACTGGTGCGCCTCCATAGCTCAAAGAGCACCTCAGGTGTATACAAGCTGCTATCGGGCACATAACACCAGATGACAAGCTGTGCCTACCTCACCATCCGTTCCAGCACGCACCAGAAAATGAGGACTACTGTATGTCCCTGTTGTGGGATAAGTGATAACTGTGTGATCCCGGTCTGTGGATCAATTTTTGGGATGAGGAGGCGGAATTTGATTCTTTATTTTTGAGGCTACCAGTCCACCAGTAGTTTTGACATCTCATGTACTGCCACTATGACATTATAGTTAATGTGGAAATAACTTTAAAATCTCTGTTTGGGTCAGCAAGCTGTCACTCCACTTTTGTCTCTGTAAACCAGGGCTGCCAAACCACAGCTCTGTATCTCTATAGTCCGCATTCTAACCATCATATATAACTGCATTTGGAACTGTAATCATGAGACAAAAGTATTACTTGGGGGAAAAAAATGCATTCAGTTAGACCATTTCAGTATTCCCACTATTTTTAGGAAAACAAGTTATATAATTTCCTTGTGAATTCTCACCAACTTATGGTTAAGTGAAAAACCTGTGTGAGAGATTCAGATGTGTGCTGCTACTTGCCTGATAATCTTGTATAAGAAAGATGATAGTGTGGAAAAAAAAAAAATCCCTCCAAATATTTCAAGCAAAATTCCAGTGAGACTTTGTAATTACATAACATTATGCTTTTGCAGTCTCACTGCTCAATTCTCTGCCATTCAGGAGTAAAATGACTTGTTTCTGTTTATGCTCCCCTGGATGTTATGGACACAGCCTGCAAAAAAAAATGGTTTCATGTTCAATCAGATCTCAACTTACATTAGATTTTTTTATTTTTTTTAATCGCCTCTGTAAATTTAACTTTAATCACACACACGAGGCTCCTGTAA